CAGGGGGCGGAGCCCCGCGTGACATCACGGCCGGAGCGCCGCGGGGCCGGAGCGGCCGGGGGTGCCGAGGACGAGCCTGACAATAAACAGCATTGACTTTAATATCATGGAGTGCGAGGGACTACTTTCATCTATCTGCACTCTGTACAGAGGCTCCTCCCCATTTGGAAACTGGTGATAGTAAATATTTTCTGAATGAATGGGAAGCCTCTGTGCTTTTCATTTAGAACAGAGGCTGCAGAAAAAGAGATTGAGGACTTTGTGTCCTCAATTTCTTTTTCTATTTTAAAAGGGAAATAGTAAAAAATAAAATAACAAATCCTGGAGGCAGGGGCCTGTTGGGGTCACACGCCTTGTGGGGGGGGTCACTTTTTTTTTTTTTTCTTGCCACGTGTGCAAAAGGAGCTGGCTACTGCTATGCTTCCGCGGTGCTCATGCGGCTGCATGTGTCAGACGCGGAAGACGGAAAGGGGCGGGAAGGGCGGAAGACGGAAGGCCCGTGTGCAGCGGCGCCCACACGAGCACCGCGAGAGGATAGGACGCCCACGCCTCTAGAACGAGCACCGCAGCCATGTCCCCGGCCCACAGTTTAATCACCTGCACATTAGTGCCTGCATTCCGGTCCAGTGATCTGCAAAAATAGTGCTTGCAGCATTTTTGCAGATCGCACTGGACCGGAACGCAGGCACTAACGTGCCTGGGTTCCGGGTGCAGGCGATCGCACTGTGGGTGAGGGGCCTGGCTGCGGTGCCATTGACTTCAATGCACTGCCACACCCCCTCCCGCCCCTGAACGCAGGTGTTTTTTCGTTGGTAGATCTCATTGAGCTTGTCATTTGAAAAGTAGATCTCCAGATGAAAAATTGTGGGCGCCCCTGGTTTGAAGCCTGTGAGAAGCCGCAGACACCATTTCTCAGACCTACAACAAGTAAATGTGGCAAATTCTTTATGTATTTTAGGCTCTTTGGCTCCATTTAGACGTTTGTTTTGTCTGTCCTGGTATCTTGAGCCAAGATTCTTCTTTTGACTTCAACGATTACCAAGCATTGCAGAGTATCTAAACCCAAGAACAGAAATTTGACTTCTCTCCCGTTCATTGAAGGACACAGGGCAACAGATCGTAGATCCTGAATGGTAGGGTATATCGCCACCTGCAGGAGTAGGACGCTAGGCACATAACAAAAAGACAAGACAGCCTAGGGGCGGCCCCTGCTGGTGGCCCAACCCCTCACTTGCTGACAAGTCTCCAGTAAGTAACAAGCAGTTTGGAGTGTACACCCCATAAAAGAGGGCGGGATCTGTGTCTTTCATCGAACGGAGAGAAAAGGATTTTACGGTGAGTACAAAAATCCTAATTTCTCTCCCGTTCATTGAAGGACACAGGGCAACAGATCGTAGATCCTGAATGGTAGGGACGTCACCAAGCAGTACACACTGAGGGATGGGCAACAACAACCAAACACCAAAAAGACACCACAAAGAGCCGCCTGCAACACTTTGCACCCCAAACCAGCATCCGCCGATGCCAAAACATCCACCTTGTAAAACTTAACAAAAGGTGTGAACAGAAGACCAAGTAGCGGCCTTACAAACCTGAGAAACAGAGCCCCCAGAGCTGCCTGGAGTAAGGAGCTAAAGAATTCTCTCTGGATAAATTTTTTTTCCCTTCTTCCGTTTGACTTGATTTCTTCTGGCAAGTGTCCCCATCGCTCGCTCGGCGGCCACGGCCGCTAATTGAGGCCCCGGTCTAACTGCGGCCTCCAGGCGGCTCCGCGGCCGCCATCTTGGATGAGGGCAAATTTGCCCTTTCTCTTTTGTCACTTCCGCCCGGGCTTTCTTCAGCCTCGGGCGGATGGGGAGTGTGTTCCTTTCGGCCCAGGACGTCTTGAAGGAAGGACACAGTGTGCAGCTCTCCTCTGCCTTGCGGAGTCGGATGGCTGGGCTGGGACAAGGACGCTGGGGGTCGTGAGTAGCGGGGTCCCTGTCTCCATCTCCCTACAGTGAGGAGGAGGCTGCGTCTACGCTCCATGATCCAGGAACGTGAAATGGTCTCGGCGCTGTCAGGGAGACCCTTAAAATTGAGGACGTTGCCAGCACGTCCGCGCTGCCGCACGTGCAAACTCGCATGGAGCGTGCCTTGACGCAGCGCCCACCTGGAAAGCGGGCTTTTTTGCGTCGGATCGCGGCCGAGGGCGTCATCGTCATCCTCGTGGCCCCAGACTGGCCTCAGAGGGTGTGGTACGTGGACGTGGTTCAGCTGGTGGTGGACGCCCCGTGGCGTCTGCCTCTGCGCCCTGGTCTTCTGTCACAGGGACCTGTGTTCCGTCCTTCTTTACAGTCGCTGGCTTTGACGGCGTGGCTGTTGAGAGCCTGGTCCTGAAGGACCGGGGGTTGTCTGATGCGGTTATTTCCACTATGCTCAGAGATCGCAAAGCGGTTTCTAGAAAGATTTACCATCGCACGTGGAGGGCCTATTTTGCCTGGTGTGAGGTTGGGGCCCTGTCCCGGCGTTTATTCTCCATCAGCAGAATCCTTGCATTCCTGCAGCGCGGGGTGGCTCAGGGGCTGGCCTTGAGTACTGTGAAGGGCCAAATCTCTGCCTTGGCGAGTTTTTTTTACCAGCGGCCTTTGGCGTCTAATGCTCTGGTTCGCACCTTTGTTCAGGGGGTGACGCGCATTGCTCCCCCTGTCCGCTCACCTTTGGCTCCGTGGGATCTGAATCTCGTGTTTTCAGTGTTGCAGGAATCCCTGTTTGAACCTTTTCGGGAGATTCCGCTTATGTCTTTGTCACAGAAAGTGGCCTTTTTGGTGGCCATCACTTCCGTTCGGTGGGTGTCGGAGTTGGCTGCCTTGTCCTGCAAGTCCCCGTTGCTGGTTTTGCGTCAGGACAAGGCGGTTCTCCGTCCTCGGCCGGCGTTCCTGCCGAAGGTTGTGTCGGCATTCCATCTGAATGAGGACATTGTCTTACCTTCCCTGTGTCCGAAGCCGGTCCATAGGAAGGAGCGTGCGCTCCACTGTTTGGGTGTGGTTCGCGCTCTTCGTGTTTAGAAGCTGCGGCTTCTTTCCGCGAGACCGACTCCCTGTTCGTGCTCACGGATTGCCCTCGTAAGGGTCGGGCCGCGTCGGCGGCTACCATCTCTAGGTGGATACGTGAGGTTGTGATTCAGGCGTACGCCGTTCCTGTCACTGCCCATTCTACTAGGGCTGTGGGGGCTTCCTGGGCTTTCCGCTCTGGGGGCTCTGTTTCTCAGGTTTGTAAGACCGCTACTTGGTCTTCTGTTCACACCTTTTGTTAAGTTTTACAAGGTGGATGTTTTGGCATCGGCGGATGCTGGTTTGGGGTGCAAAGTGTTGCAGGCGGCTCTTTGAGGTGTCTTTTGGGTGTTTGGTTGTTGTTGCCCATCCCTCAGTGTGTACTGCTTGGTGACGTCCCTACCATTCAGGATCTACGATCTGTTGCCCTGTGTCCTTCAATGAACGGGAGAGAAATTAGGATTTTTGTACTCACCGTAAAATCCTTTTCTCTCCGTTCATTGAAGGACACAGGTCCCGCCCTCTTTTATGGGGTGTACACTGCTAACTGCTTGTTACTTACTGGAGACTTGTCAGCAAGTGAGGGGTTGGGCCACCAGCAGGGGCCACCCCTAGGCTGTCTTGTCTTTTTGTTATGTGTCTAGCGTCCTACTCTTGCAGGTGGCGATATACCCTACCATTCAGGATCTACGATCTGTTGCCCTGTGTCCTTCAATGAACGGAGAGAAAAGGATTTTACGGTGAGTACAAAATCCTATTATTGCAGCTTGCCAATCCCTAGATGTGTTTGCTGCATTCGTTTTTTCTCTTTTCAGGTTTTATTTTTTATTTTTTTTAACATGCTGATCTGGCAGTTAAACACTTCCTGCCCTAGGGTGTCAACACTCACTTATGGTATCTATTGAGTAGCAAAGTTTTCACACAAGGAAAGAATGTTTTAGGACTACAACACCCCCTTTCCTCATCTCCATAACATGGAGGAAGGTGTTCTGTAGTCCGGAGAGAACTGGGAGCAAGGCTAACTGATGACTTCTGGATTCTTTTTTTGTTTTAACGGATTGAGTAGATATAACAAAATGTTTCAGTCATATATTTAACAGACCAAAAGGGAGCAAATAAGAGAATTTCAGTGTCCTGTTTTTACATATACTTTTAACACTGGTGAGCTGGGAGGTTTACATAACTCCGAACCTAACGAACCCTTTTCATTGAATTATCCATTTTTCAAAGCGCAATAGTTTCTTGATTAGAAATCGGAGTAAGGTATCTTTTGGCTGCCAAAGAAATGTGAAATATAATCATTTAGTAAATTCACACTTCCATTTGTATGTTCTTACACGTATCACTGCTGTCCTTTAAGTGATATTAAACCTTTTTTATTTTCTTTTTAAGGTTACAAGGCCTGCAAACGGAACAAGTTTCTGTGAATGGACTGTATACAGACTCGGACTCTCCGCAGGTAGTCAGTGTATATATTTTTACACTTGTAAAGCTGTAAAAGGAGAAATTGCTGATCTCCATCTCAAAATTATGATGGTCATGATTAGTAGAGTTCTTGAGCTCTAGCGCCAAAACAAGCAATGCAGACAGTAGTAAGAGTTAATGATCTATAGATTTGTTCTAGGTCAGTAACTGTAAGCCACTGTATATGGAATTTATTATCGCAAAAACGTAATCGGCCATAATATGACCACTGAGAGGTGACATAAATAATAGTGATTATTTCCTTGCAATGGCAACTAGAAGTGGGTGGGATGTATTCCGCAGTAAGTGAACATTTTGTCCCTGAACGTGATGTGTTGGAAGCATTAAAATGGGCAAGTGTAATGATTTAAGTGACTTTGACGAGGGCAACATTGTGATGGGTAGATGACTGGGTCAGAACAACTCAAAAACTACAGCTCTTGTCTGCGGTTGTCAGCCCCTACCTACCTGGTTCAAGGAAGGAAAGCGACAGGGTCATGGGAGGCCAAGGCTCACTGATGCACGTGGGGAGCAAAGGCTGGCCCGTGTAGTCCGATCTAAATCAAATTACTGAAAAAGTTGATGCTGGTTTCGATAGAAAGGTGTCTAAACACACAGGGGAATTTATCAGAACTGGAGCAGCTGTGCATGGCAATCGATCTACTTCTCTCTTCAGTTAAGATGTCAAAATGAAAGAGAAGCTGATTGGTTGCCATGCATAGCTGCTCCATATTTTTCTGCTCCAGTGTTGCTAAATTCCCTTCACAGTGCATAGCAGTTTGTTGCGTATGGGGCTGTGTAGCACCACCAAAAGCACCTACAGTAGGCTTGTGAGTATAACTAGGGCAAGGAGCAATGGAAGCAGATAGCCTGGTCTGATGGATCATATCTTCCCATTAACGTCTTCCAGGACAGCATCATGAGAGATGGAATCACCTCCCCAAACATAGGAAACGCGTCACCCACTAGCTTTAAAAGGTACGCCCCTTCTCCAGTCCCTCAGTCTTTGTGTTTCCTCAAACTGGGGAGCGTGTCACTAAGAGCACTGGGGAAGCCTCCATTTGGCAAATGTTTGCCTGAGGTTTTTCCTTCTGCATGTGCCTGACTGTCAGGCTCCCACATGGGGAGCGCATTTACAGGTAGCATTCGCCTACCTTATTTTCAGCATCCAGTTAGTCCTAGCAAGGGAGGGGGTACGCTGGCTCCTTTTCCTTCAGTGCCCAGCGAGGGCCAGAACAGGGATGACTGAGCTCCCTTGGCTGGGGTCACAGAAAACAAATAGCCGCCAGTCAGAGGTCTGTTTTTTCTCCGTGGCCTCGGGATGTATTCCACGGCCTGACCGGATGGCGGCATACGTCACTTGCGGTGTGAGTGACGTAATTTCCGGGCGCCGAGGTTGGTGCGTTCCAAGCCTCGTTTTCAGCGCAAGAGGAAGGGGAGGGCCTTGGCTGGTCATTTTCGGCACAAATCTCGGTAGTGACTGAGAGGACGTTGGCAGCCTGCTGTGGCAACAGATACTGGTCCTTTTGGCACCAGCCCTGCTCACCTCCTTGTACAAATCTCACCTCCCCGTTACCTCTGACTTTACTCTCTCCACCTGGTGTCCCTTGGTGTTGGGGGCTTTGGTGTTGAGGGGCTCTCTCAAACTGTTTATTGAATTAGTGGAAATTACTCCTCCTTGCTTTTCTTTTTATAGGCTAAGGCTTCAGATAAAACAAAGGTGGCATCTAAGAAGAAATGTGCTGTTTGTTTAGTCAAGCTAGGCTCAAGTTACGCAAAGCCTTTATGTCAAAAGTGTATTGACAGTCTCTTTGAAGAGGAATCCACCTCAGCCTGTAAAATATCTTGGCTTCGGTTAAAGAGGAGTTATCTTCTACATTCCAATCTTTTGGATCGATATTGGAAGTGTTTAAACCTAGTACCAGTACCGTTCTATTGCCCACTCTGGTGGGTATGGGCCAGTTTGGCCCTGTAGTGTCTGAGCAGGAGGCTCTTGGTGACCCAGGTCCTTCCCATCCATGATTATTCGTCATCAGAAGATTTTAGTGCTCAGGATGACGTTTCCGGTGTGTCTAGGTATGAGTTGTCATTAGAAGATGTAGATGATTTACTTACTGCCATTTTATAGCACCTTGAAAATACAAAAAGAGTGTGTGCAGCTTTCCAGACACAATCTCGTGCATCAGGGATTACAACAAAAAAAGTCCAAAGTTTTCCCTGTACATAAAATTATTTCTGAAACAGTTCTTAGCGAATGGGCAGACCCAGAGAAGAAGCCTCTCGGGTCTAGCATTCTCAAGCAGGGGTTTCCTTTTGATGATCCAGCTTGGGTTTTGAGGAAAACTCCCAAGCTGGATGCTCCTTTGGCTAAAAGTCTTTTTAACCCTCCCTCCCAAACCCCAAAACTGCAATGACTGTCTGATTCCAGTAGGGGGGGGGCTACCTCCAATCAATTTATTCTGAGCCTTATAAAGGAGGGGTACAAGTTGGAGTTCAACAGTTTACCACCCCAGCGATTTTTGGTTACAAATCTGCCAAAACAACCAGACAAAGCATAAGAACTTTGCCTCTTGTTAGGGGATCTGTTAGACCAGAGAGTAATCTCTAAAGTTCCAAAGCAGGGGGAGCAGCAGGGGTTTTACTCCCACGTTTCTCACGTAAAAAAAAGCCGTCGGGGAGATTTTGCTTGATCCTCAACTTAAAACCATTACATTTTGGTGGTAAGATACAAGAGGTTCAGGATGGAATCAATCTTTTCGATCAGAACCCTTCTACAATTCAGAGCTACATGGCTACTCTAGATTTAAGAGATGCATACTTGCATAGCCCTATTCACCTGGCTTTTTAGCAGTTTTTAAGGTTGGTGGTGAAGATAGGTCCGGTAATTCACCATTACCAGTTCAGGGCCCTCCCTTTCAGGCTTTCCTCCTCCCCTTGCATTTTTTCAAAGGTATTGGGGGAAGTTCTGGTAGCGTTGAGACTTCAGGGAATCAACATTATTCCCAACCTAGACGACATCTTGTCAGCAACCACGACCAACCAGTTGGAGAGAGATTTAAGAATAACTCTGAGTTGGTTGCAGGATCTGCGGTGAGACAGGAAACTTTTATTCCTCAGGAAAAGGTTCCAAAGGTCTCTTCAGCGGTCAGTTGGCTACAGAGAAATCGTCCAGTATCCTTGAGAGAGATCATGTCAGTCCTGGGGCTCATTGGGGACTTCTTGTTTACCCGCAGTAAAATGGGCTTGTTTCCATCGGAGACCGTTTTTTTCTAGGGAAGTGGAATCGGGCTCTGGACAGTTTAGACTCTTCTGTCCTCCTTCCTGCATCAGTGAAGAGGAGTTTGGTGGTGGCGGTGAACTCGACTCATCTTCGGTCAGGTCTTCAATGGGTGTTTCAAGCCTCCATAAAGATGATGCGAGCTCCTGGGGTTGGGGAGCCCATCTGGAGACACAGATCGCTGAAGGTCACTGGTCTGGGAGAGAGAAAAAAATGTCCTCAAACTGGAAAGAGTCGAAAGCAATAGCAAATGCGATCAATTTGATCCAGGACAAGTTGAAGGGACATCTCTTAGTATTCTCAAACAGCATAACATCAGAACGAGTGGAGTTTAAACCAGGAAGTCTTTTCCCTCCTATCAGAAGTGGAGTCCTGCAGCAGTAGATCTCTTTGCCTCTCAGGAGAATGCAAAGATAGATAAAAAAAATTTCCCTACGCTTTTCCTCCAATCCATCTTATTCCGAGGGCTCTTCAGCAGTTTACTCTGGAGGAGACTGAACTCATTCTAATTGCGCCTTTTTGGCCAAAAAGGGCTTGGTTTACTCTACTGCTCTCCCTCACAGATCGCCCACCTTGGACTCTTCCTTGCAGGCCGGATATAATATCTCGCGGCCCAGTCTTTCATCCGGAAGTGTTGAGATTCAAACTAACAACCGCTTTTTATCTGAAGAAGACATTCTAAATGCCAGAGGTCTGTCTAGTAAGGTCATTGCTTCTCTTCTACATTGCCGTAAATCTTCCTAGCTTATGGCTATGTATGGAAAACGTTAACTCCTGGAGAGGCAGGTTTAACAGGGACTCTGACGTTCCAGCCATGTTGGATTTCCTCCAGGAAGGCTGATAAAGGGTTAGCACTTAGTACACTGAAGGTACAGGTGTCAGCACTCAGTGTGTTTCTTCAGGTATCTCTGGCAAAAGATCAGTTTATAGCTAGATTCTTTAAGGCCCTCAAGAAAGTCAGACCTATTGCTGTTCGAGCCATTCCCCAATGGGATTTGTCTACAGTATTGCAGGGACTCAAGTCCTCCTTTTGAACCCCTGAGTCCTCTCTCAAGAATCTTATCTTTTTAAAAACAATATTTTTGGTTGCTATTACCTCTGCCCATAGAATAAGTGAGCTACGAGCTCTCTCCGTTAGGGAGCCATTCTGATTGATTTTTTTGAGGATTATTTAATCCTAAGGACCCATCCTGCCTTTTTACCAAAAGTGTCCTCTTCTTTCCACAGACTGCAGAAGATTATCCTGCCTACGTTTTGACTAATCGACTAATGGTACAGAATTAGCCTTTAACTGTTTAGATGTTGGGGTCGTTGCCTGCTACATTACCTTCAGGTGTCTAAAGTATTTAGGAAGTCAAATGTATTATGTGTGCTGTTTTGTGGTAGATCCAGGGGTGAGCAGGCTTCTAAATCCTCAGTCAGGTGGTTAAGACAGTCTATTGTGGAAGCCTACAATGTTCTGAAGATGCCTTCTCCTTCCTTTGTGAATGCACATTCAACCAGAGCCTTAGCAGCTGCTTGGGCCAAAAGAGCTGGTGCTACCCTGGAACAAATTTGCAAAACTACCACATGGTCAAGCTTCTCTACTGTTGTGAAACATCACTTGGATCTCAATTCTGCAGGAGATCAAGCATTTGGGCATAAGGTACTTTAACCTGTGGTCCCACCCTAGATTGGGTAAGTTCTTGTTTATCCTCTCATGATGCTGTCCTGGAAGACGTTAATGGGAAATCCAGTGTTAGAACTTACCGGTAACTCTATTTCCAATAGACTTCCAGGACAGCAACTGCCCACCCCATAATGCTTGTTGTGTTGATGTTTTTGACGGTGTTTGTATGTTTTTGCTTTTTTCCCGTTTTTCCTTCGGTTCTCGTGATGACTGAGGGACTGGAGAAGGGGCGGACCTTTTAAAGCTAGTGGGTGCCGTTTTTCCTGTGTTTGGGGTGGAGATTCCATCTCTCATGATGCTGTCCTGGAAGACTATTGGAAATGGCGTTACCGATAAGTTCTAACTCTGGATTTCGTTAACGTATTGTGGATGGCCGTGTGTGTCACTTACCTGGGGAAGAGATGGCACCAGGATGCACTATGGGAAAAGGGTAAGTCGGCAGAGGCAGTGTGATGCTTTGGGTATCGCACTGTTCTGCTGGGAAACCTTGGGTCCTGCCATCCATGTGGATTTTACTTTCACATACCACCAACCTAAACATTGTTGCTGACCAAGTACACCCCTTCATGGAAATGGCATTCCCTGATGGGAGTGCCTGGATGATGCTTGAAGTGTTGACAGGACAAAGTTCAAAGTGTTGACTTGGCCTCCAAATTTTCCAAATCTCAATCCAATTTCAACATCTGTGGGATGTGTTGGAAAATCCATGGAGGTCCCGCCTCTCAACTTACGGGACTTAAACGATATGCTACTGACAGCTTGGGGCCAGTTACCGCAGCATAGCTTCAGAGGTCTTGTGAAGTTCATGCCTCGATGAGTCAGGGCTGTTTGGCGCCTACTCAATATTAGGGGGTTTGTCATAATGTTATGGCTTATTGATGTAAAGATCTGCAAATTAGATTTTGTTTTATAAGGAGGTTTGTCCCCTTTAAATAAAAATAGTGTGACAAGCAACGGTTTGTGAGAAATTGTTTTGACCTTATTGAGGTTCAAGTTCCAAAATCTGTTTGATACCAAGGTATTACTCTTTCTGTAAATACAGTACTTTTTTCTTTTGTTAGAATGTTTTTTTAATGGATATTTTTCTTTTATTTTGGATAGGGTAGGGGAGGGTTACAACTGCTGTCAGGCTTTGTTTGTCATTTGTTTCTCTTTATGGATATTAGCCGTGCCTTCACTTTCTGTCCTGTAGACTAAACAGGAAGTGATGGGATATTTTTTCCAGTTCCCTTCTTGGGCAGTTGTCACATAAAACAAATGCCCCCTTTGGTAGATTACCCCTCTACCTGTTTAGGTTCAAATTTTGTATTTACGCTCCTTACCTTCCCGGTGACATTGAGAGAGTGAACCTCTGACAGGGGATGTAACTACTCCCCATTCTATCCATTTTTTTTTTTAATACCTTTTTTTTAGTTATACATTACTACTCGCATATATATTTTTATTTTTCAAAGTATTTTATTAATTTTCCAAAGTACAATAAAACAATAAAATAGCACATGATGCACAATCAGTATAGCATACAATTGCATTACACTTTCTTCCACATTAGCATAATCAAGTAGTAGGAGGGGATCACTAGAGGCCATACACACAGTATATAATAGTTCTGTACAACAGAACATCTCTATCCACCTATTCTTGCCAATTTATCCCTCCTATAAAGCACACTTATGCTCCTGCCTACCACAGCTCACTCCCTTAATATTAACATTAGCACGGATCGCAATCGCTAGGGGTTCTATCGCTAATGCAAAAAGCAGTGGGGAAAGTGGACAACCTTGACGTGTGCCTTTAGAGATAGCTATGGAGTCAGATGTGGCCCTGTAGCCTAATTTGTGCTGACGGTGTGGTGTATAAGGCCCGCAATGTAGTCATTGCACATATATATTTTTAAACAGCGGCTTGAGTCACTATTATTTCCCCACCGCAGTTTAAATTTTTTTTTTTTAAAACATCACTGGAGAAAAGACCCACTGAGTACCCAGCAAATCTGAGTGGATCAGTACCTTGTGATTGCTGTGATGACCAATCACATTGATCAAATGCTAGTGTTTACATGGTTGATTCCTCCCCTTCATTTTACAACAGAGTAAGAAAGAGGAATCATATTTATGAATGTGGAATGAGTGAATTGGTCAGCAGCTACTGAGCCATTCATTCATTTCCACTGATTTTTTTTAATCCTTGCTTTCTCCTTGTCTTTTTTCACATGTTTTTTTCTTTTCAGTTGGTGATGCCAAAAGCACACTTCTTGCCCTAGTGTGACAACACCCACTAACTGTACTGTATCTACAGAGGAGCAGTATTGTCACCCTAGGACATGTAGAGTGTTAAGCTTACAAAACACCTCCCCTATGTGATGGAGAGGAGGAAAGTGGAGGTGTTTATTCTTGCACACTTCCTGATAACATTGTTTGAGTACACAGCACTGGGTTTCTGGCAGGGTCAGGAAGTAATTTTTGCTCATATTGAATAAATATGTAAATGCTGTAGTGAAACCAGAATCAACATGAAAGGTACACTTGCACCTTTCAGATGAAACAATTGTAGCTTCCATATTTCTATCAGCATATGTTTCCTTTCAGATCTGCATTCTGTCATGCATATTTAACATGCACCACAATCAAACAGTGGTGCTGGTTTGTTCAGGGGGGAGATCAGCGGTCAGAGTAAAGGATCACAATACATGCATGTGCTGTTTGCGTCAAGAATTCCAGAGTTCTGGTGCTTTGCTGACATGCAAGGATGGGCAGATATTTGCCCAACTGTTCTTGCGTAAATATCTGCCCATCAAACGACAGCCACACATGGTGAACAATAGAGGACGTTTGTATTGTTATATTCTTCTACATTTTAATTAGACTGGGGCGTTTTTATTTTTTTGATAAACAGCCATCAACAGAAACTAGAAGGCTAGATGACAGCTTATCAGAAAACCAGGTAAGGGTTTCATTATTATTTTCACTCATGTAATATAATATCCAATTTCAGTATGTCTTATAATGACCAAGCTAAGCTCTGGAGCTTACATGGTCAGGTGACAATCTCATGGTTAAGGGAACAGTAAACACTCCCTGCTAGCCTGTCTCTAGCAAAGAAAAGGATTAAAATCCTTGTCTGATTTAGAATAATTTTTTCTGCTTTGGCCACCATATATTACCTAGATCTGACATGTTTTCCAGTGATATAATAATTTGTTTTGTCTTCCTACCCACCCCCATGACTGTTTTGTGCAGTATTTTTTTTTTTATTATTATTATTATGTAAAGAGAACTGAAGCCAAACTTTTTTTTGGCTTTAGCTCTCTTTTGGGTCACATGAGTACATTTACTAATGTACTGCTGCCCTTTACTGCCTGCTATATGATGACAGCACAGAGCCGTTCTGTTGCCTAACAGCTGGCTCTACCTCTCCGGAGAGAAGAAAGGGGGAATCCCTTTGGGGGTCAGGTCACTGCTTTGTGCAAGGAGAAGACAGTGAGCTGAGCGATCAGAGGTTACATGATCTCTCAGCTCTCGATCTGTGGAGCTGGCGTGTGACAGCTTCATTCAGTGTTGCATGCTGACTGTAATTATTGTAAAGAGTACTTTTTACTGTCCCAAAAATAGTTGCAGTAAAAAACTGCAACTTGTTAGGGTAGGATTTGTTAACTTGAAGCGGCTGGATATTTCTGCTATATAACAAACTTTTGTTTCTTCAGGGGCTTGATACGTCAAATGGAGCTAAGCCAGACTTTATTTCAAAAAATGGAAGCCCCCCTCCATCACCACAGCTAGTGTCCAGAGCAACTTTTTCTCCAATAAACCTTCAGACGTCCACGTTGCCAATTAGTATTCCTGAATCTTTGGCATCTGAACAGTTGGAGGGTATGTTGCATCGTAAGCAGGAAATGGAGTCCCATACAAAGAAAGCTGCGAATAGGTGAGAAAACTTAAGCTAGGTGTCTGGGAGAAATCACTTTAAAAATAGATAACATCTATAATTTTCACATTATCCTTTCACATTTTTTATATGCATTATTCATTTAGTTAGGCATATTTATTTACATTTCATTTATTTGCTGTGTTCTTTCACTTTTTCAAACTTCAAGAGCCATGTTGCTAACGTAAAGAAAATTGCAGTTAAAATTACAGAAAAATCAAGTTTCTTTTTTGTCTATAGAGGGACACAGGAAGTCATTCACGTTCGGGTCGCCTTTTCTTGATTGTACATCACAGTACACAGGGAGTTAATTCTGAAGCCAATGGATTATGCAGCTACTGTCAGAGGATTTGACGCTGGCAAATCAAAGCTGTGAGGACACCTGTGTATAACCCTTTCCATTCCCAACTCTTTGCTCTGAGGAAAGCACATTCATTTTCCACTCAAGACACTGCTAGAAAGTTTTCCCCCAGATGTCTTCCAGAATAGCCGCTGAGATGTATATGCTCCTCCCACCAGACAGGAAACACACCAATTTCAAAATAAAAGGCTGCCTCCAAGTCCTCCCAGTTTTTTTTGTTTTTCCTCTGGCAGGGGAGGCATATCACCTTCTGAGCGCTCCTAGCAGGATTGACAGATTTGGCCCCGAAATCCCCTCCTCTGTACAGGCAGGAGAAGGTCTGGTTTTTTTCCCCCTCCCCTTCAGTGCCAGTACCGGAGTTAAGTTTCCCCCTTGGTGGTCGCATACTTGCTCTCCTCCCTTTCCTGTGGTCATCTGTGTGTCCCTGGTTTAGAAAAAAGAAGAAATCAGTACCTGCATTTGCGGAGAGCCGCTTATGGCTGGAGACCATCTAATGGCTGCAGGATCAGAGGAGGAGTCCATCCACTTGACCAGGTGCCATGGTACAGCCACTTCTGGGCGCAGGTGACGTGATTTTTGGGCGACGGAGGCTTCCATACGCTCCCAAGACTCTTTTTTTTGGTGCAGGGAAAGGTGTCTAATGGTGCTGATTGGCATGGTTTTTGCTCAGCAGAGGCTGTGGAGACGCCTTTCTGGAGTTAGACTGTGAGGATGGATCCTGCACATTCTCCGGTGGATGCAGCACCAAGCACCGATTCTGCCTAGGTAACAGTACATCTTTTAATGTTGATACTTAAACCTGTGGTTTATGTATTCTGCATCTTTTTCTCACCAGAGGCCCCTGTGGTGTTGTGGTGTCGGTTGTGAGTTAGGCACAGTTAACCCTTTAGTGTACAAATTAGGATCTCATGTTTTCCCTGGGTTCCGATTGTTTTCTTCAGACAAAAGTCCCTGATAGGAGCAGAGTTCTGCCCAAGAAGAAATGTGCGGTTTGTGGCTCAAAATTTATGAGCTTCATACACTAAACCATTATGTCAAACGTGCAACGATGGTCTTCTCAAAGAAGAATCTGTAAAGCTTGTAGCAACCTTCTTTCTACTGTTAAGGAAGAGCTTTCAATCCTTCAGGTCATTTATAGGAAAACATGAGCACTCCAATACACGCTCCATCTGTGCTTGCACCTTCTAGCTGTTTACCTCTATCCAAGGAGGTTATTTTTATTAAAACTTCTGAGCTAGAGGAGCTCATTGAAGCTGGTCCCTCCAACCTATATTCCTCCCAGAAGGAGGAGAGGCAGGATGAGGTTTCTGTGGGTTCTAAATACAAGCTATTCCTGGAGGATATGGATGACCTCCTGTGGGAAATTTATGAGACCTTAGACATACAGGAGGAAAAAAAGTCTAATTGTCTAGACATGATCTCATGTATCAGGGTTTGGAGAAAAAGAAAACCCAAGTTTTTCCAGTCCATAAGACTCTGAAACTGTGTTAAAGGAGTAGGTGGATCTCGGAAGGAAACCTTTTTTCTCTTGCTCACTTAAGAGGGGAATCCCTTTTGACGATAACCCGTCAGCAGTATGGAACAAGGTTCCTACGCTGGACGTCCCCCATTTCCAAAATATCAAAGAAGTCTGACCTCTTGTTTGAAGACCTTGGTATCCTAAAAGATGCCATTGATGGAAAATTGGAGATACTACTCAGGAGAGCCTGGGATTCAACCTTATGCCTGCTTTGGCAACCACATGTGTGGCTAGAAATCTTGATTTTTGGTTGGCTCAATTAAAGGCTCATCTTATGGCAGGTAACCCTAGAGACCAGATCTTTGAGTCCTTTCCTGTGATTTCAAAAGCCGTGGGCTATATTGCTGATGCTTCGGCAGAATCTGTGAGACTTTCAGCACGCTTTTCTCCCCTTATTAAATCATCTAGATGTGCCCTGCTGTTTACACCATGGGATGGAGATGGATTAAGATTATGCAATTTACCTTTCTTGGAGACCAGCTCTTCGCCATGACTTAGAGGCCACTTTAGAGTGTTCGACAGACAGGAAAAAAGCTTTCCCAATCAAAGAGAAAAAGCCATATCGGTCGAAAATGGCCATTTTCGCATAATGCCGAAAGTGCCATTTTCTGGCCGATACAGTGGTGCATCCGTGCTTTCTTTCCTCCCCGCTGGGTGCTACTGTGTACCAGCGGGGAGGAGAGAAACTGACGGCCGAGCGGCTGGCGTCTCTCCTCCCACACTGCTCAGCCTCCTTCACAGATCAGCAGAGCGGTGTGGGTGGGGACAGCCAGCACTGTCACCGGAGGCTGAGCTCTCCTCCCTACACCGCTCGCTCAGTCTCCTGTGACGGCATGTCAGGAAGGAAAGTCAAGGCAAACACTCGGTGATCGCTGAGTGTTTGTACATAATTGAGGACATAGTATGTTTCCTATAGCCTCAATTATGAATGGGATGTGATCTACATCACCTCCTGTTCATTCATAGTTGTGGTTATAGTAAACATTCTATGTTCTCATGTTATGAATGAACAGGAACACTCATAGAGGATTCCTGTTCAGGGGTGTGGAATTCCTATCGCCCGACGCCCGGGACATGCAGCTTCGGGCGCCGGACGAGTAGTTTTTTAATACATTCAGCCCTGCCTAAATTAAAACCAACTCTGCTGCCCCTGCCATCTGCATACAAATAAATACACGCATAGGAAATTGTGTGTGTGCGTTGAGTCCTGCTGCCATTTCACTGCATCTCATTACCCGCTGCCTAGCTTCCTGATTGCCCGGGAAGCCTGCTCCATGCCAACGGGTGAGTACTGAAAGCAAAATATTGATACTCGATACCAAAAAACTGGTATTGGTGCATCCCTAGTTTTAAACTTTTAAAACTTTTTTTTGTTGTATTGGGACAAGTAGATTGTCATGAAGGACAAGTAGATTTGACCCCTGCTTTAGCCCTTGGACAATTAGTTTTTTCAAAAATTTCCACACCCCTGCCTGTTCACTTATAACAGGGGCTGCAGAAAAAGAGATTGAGGACTCTGTGTTTCGTTTCGGTTTTGAAATTTGCATTTCGGTTTACCTCTTCTTTTTCTTGGATAATTCTTTTGCGGCCCAATATTTCGCCCTCAAGAAGACAAGGAGGTAGGTCAGCTTAAGAAGCATTGGACAGGCCACAAGGGGAACGAGTGGGATCCTGTTTTAACCCACCTTCTCGGAACCCCAAACAGCAGTGACTCCCTCTCCCAGTGGGAGGAAGATTGGGGAGGTTCCTCTCACAATGAAGGGAAATTACATCCAGTCCTTTCATCAGCAGCATAATCCAGGCGGGATACAAACTGGAGTTCGATTTCCTCTCCTCCCGAAAGGTTTTTGGTCACCTATCTTCCGAAGGATCCCGTCAAGGCTTCAGCTCTCTGCAGTCTATTGGGAGATCTGATGGATCAAATAATCATCTCGCCTGTCCCAGCAGGGGAACAGGGAAAATGGTTTTATTCCCAAGTATTTATAGTCCAGAAGCCGTCCGGAAAGTTCAGATTTATTCTGAATCTCAAACCTCTAAATCAGGCTATTCGCTACAAAAGGTTCAGGAAGGATTAGATTTTTTTCTGTCAACTATTCTCCAAGAGGGGTTTTTTCTGGTTACACTTGACTTGAGGGATGCTTACCTGCATATCCTATAAATGTTTCCTCACAAATTTTTGTGTGGTTGGCAGTCAGGATGGGGGCGCAATTACTGCATTTTCAGTTCAGATCTCTCCCCTTCAGTGTCTCTTCTTCCCCTCACATCTTTACAAAGGTCCTACGGTCCTCTGCAGGGCAACAGCATAGTGCTTTACCTGGACGATCTACTTCTTTTTGCACCATCTCCTCAAATGCTTCTTGCTCATCTGGCATGCACAGTGGATTGGCTAATAAATGACTAGAAATCTTAATTTCATACCTTGACAGGTTACAACTTTCCTGGGCTATGTTATAAACACGGTGGAGAAGAAAATGTATCTTCCCCCAGAGAAAATGCAAAGAGTCTTGGACTCCATTCTCCAGCTTCAGGGGAACCAAACAAGGCCAGTAAGGTTTATCATGTACATGATGAAGGCAGATTACTTCATGCTTTCCTGCAGTGCCATTGGCTCGCTTCCACCAAAGGAGGTTACACAACTTTCTCTTGAAAGTTTGGGACCGATCTCAGGATTCTTTGGACCTAGAGGTTCAGAATCCAACCAGTGTGAAATTAATTATTTGGTGGTGGAGGTCGATAATTCATCTCTAATTGGAAGGAGTTAAAGGGTTTCTAAACCCTCCGGTTTTTTTTGCCTATATCTACTGCTAGCAAGCAATGGCTGATAAGGGCCTTGCGATTAAAACTCTGAAAGTTCAAGTTACTGCTCTAATTGTTTTTCTACAAACTAAGCTCGCACAAAATCCCCTAATTTCTAGGATTTTTTAAGGCCTTATCAAGGTTGAGGCCGATAGCTGTTAAGACTTTGCCAAAATGGGACTTGTCCCTCGTTTTACATGCCTTGACACATCCTCCTTTTGAGCCATTATCAGAGGTCCCAATCAAGATTCTTACCCTTAAGATTTCTTTATTGATTGCTATAACTTCAGCAAGAAGGATTAGTGAATTACAAGCACTTTCAATTAAGATGCCTTTCCTTACTATTTTTGAGGATGGAGTTCTCCTTAAAACAGACCCTGGATTTTTACCTAAGGTACCTTCTACTTTTCACAGGTCACAAAACTTTGTTCTACCAACATTCTGTAACAAGCCTAATGACAAGGAACTGGCATTTTCTAAACTAGATGACAGGCGTTCCCTTTCATTTTACCTGGAAGCAACAAAAGATTTCCAAACCTTCAATGCCCTTTTTGTTTTGTTTTCTTGGAAATCAAAGGGAAAATAAGCTTCTAAAAGCAATTGCTAGATGGATTAAGTTGGCTATTATTGAAGCTTATAACTCTAAAGGGGTGCATCCACCACCTTTCATCAATGCTCATTCTACTAGGGCCTTAGCGACCTCTTGGGCAGAAAGGGCAGGGGCAACTCTGGAGCAAATTTGTAAAGCAGCCACATTGACCAGCCTCTCCACATTTGTTGGGCATTATCCCCTAGATCTCCTTTCAAGCCAAGACCAGGCTTTTGGTAGAAAAGTATTGCAGGCTGTTATCATTCTCTCTCTCTCTCTCTCTCTCCCGCCAACTTGGTAAGTTCTTGCTGATCATCTCAGGGGCTGTCCAGAAAGACATCTGGAGAAAACCGGCGTTAGACTTACCGGTAGCTCCTTTTCCAGTAGTCTTCTAGGACAGACAGCATCCCACCCTTGATGTAAATGTTGATATTATTTGGTGGTGTGTGCTGTTCTACTTTCAGATCCACATTTTGGTTCTCTGATTATATGAAGCGGACTTAAGAAGGCGGCCTTTTATTTTGAAATGGGTCATGTGTTTCCTGCCCGGTGAGAGGAGCATATACATCTCAGGGGCTGTCCTGGAAGACTACTGGAAAAGGAGCTATCGGAAGTCTAACTCCGTTTTTCCCTATGCTGATCAGTCACTGGGTCACCTCTTAGCAGCTGTCCAAATTGGCTTTCTCCACATGTAACAGTACCCAGACTGTGCTGGAAGAAAGAGGTGGGGCCAGACTGTAATGTATTCAGAGCACTAGATCCTCTGTGGGGCACTCACCTTGGCACTTTGCGTAGTGGCTGCAGGTGCAGGGCACTGGTCCATTTTGGTGGAGCGTTTCTCCTGAAAACCCCTTTGGGGTTCCCGCTGCTAGCCCCTTCTCATCCCATCTTAGATGTGACTGACTAACTGGGCAAAGTTCAGAAGGGAACTTGACGCTACTGTGGTTGATGCCATGGTCATAGAACATTTAGAGCAAATGGTTGTAACTTTAAGCTGCTGGAGGTTTTCCAGGTTATCTTCTAATCTTGTCAGTACACCTCTGCAGGAAGCTTTGGCTAAAGTGTTTCTTCAGATCTACTATGGATACCATTATCAAGGATGCTAGATATGAAGGTTCATACTTCAAAGGCAGTTAAGAAGAGTCTATTTTTAGTGCTTCTGCGACATCCACATCCAAACCTCACTCTCGGGCTACCTGCAAGGTCTGGGGCTCAAAGTCTGCTAAAAATCCTCTGACAAATTTTCCCCTACACGAAGATGCATCCCCACTCCAAAGTATGTGCATGTGGTGGGGACACTTGGACAGCCTACATCAAAGATGCTTGGGTGCAGAAAGTGGTTTCCATGTGCTCCAAGCTTGAGGTTCTCTCCCAGACCCCTCCTCGGTTTATCTCCCCTCCAACAAAGAAGCCTTGAAGTTTTTGGTTTTTTTTTAAACCTGTTTTTCCCAAGAATGTTTACATTCACTTACTGTTGACTGACTCACTACCTCTGCTGGAAGTCTGTTCAAAGCATCAAGTACCAGATTTTTATCACCTTTGGTCTCCGTTTCCCTTAATTTCAACATCCTGTTCTCCTGTCCTGAAATTAATTTAAATCTAAACTATGTGTGGGTAATTGAAAATAATGAAGACTCATTAGCCAATGATATAAGATTAATATGAATTAATAGTAAACTTTAAAAAAAAAAAAAGTGATACAGATTTGGCTGGTATAATCTCATATTAACTGATGGCTAAGTATAAGACTTTAATCATTTCGAATGAGCTTTAAGATGCCTAAAAAGCAGCCATTTTTTTAACCATCTGGTCTGTGTAAATGTCTGCATTCTTTTCTCCTCCTAGGTCCTGGCAGAATGTCTATTGTGTTTTGAAGAAGGGTAGTCTGGGATTCTACAAAGATGCAAAGAGTGCAGCAAGTGGCATTCCTTATCATGGTGAGGTTCCTGTTCAGCTTAGTGGTGCCCTATGCAGTGTGGCCCATGACTACAAGAAACGCAAGAATGTCTTCAAGCTAAGGTGTGTAACCGACAGTGACACTATGTCTAAAATATTGTACATTTGTGGTTAATTGTGTAAAAGTTATGGTTGACCACAGACAGTAAATCCTAACCGTTGGATCTACCCCTTGGATTCCCACTCTTTTATCTCTCCTGGCATCTGAATGACTGGAAAAAATAAAAGCAAAGCAGCGTACCAAGTATACTGCTTTCTCTTTGATCCCTGCTGTTTCTCTGATTAATAAAACACAGTGCTATGCATAAAAAATATTTGTCTCTAATAAAATACTTGTACCAAAACTATAATTTAAATACCGTTTTGATCGCCCCATAACCCAGTTTCTTTCATTTTCATTAGGGATAGGGTTACACTCCTTTAGACATTGGATAGCAATCAGAAACAAGTTGTTTTCAAGAGGAATAATTAGCTGTATGCACATCTGCAGCAACTGATCACATATACTAGTTTCCTATGGCTCACTGCTGTCAAACATTAGATCATACCTGCTGATCTTTTAATGTTGGGGGAGGCAGGGAAATGTTTAAAACAGGTCTGCTATTTATAAATGTTTTGTAGTGTTAACTGAATTCCCATACAATATATGTCTTCTAAGTTCAATTGTGTCTTTAGGGTGCACAATGTGGCCCGTGTAAGAATTGTATGTCCGTGTAGGTAATCCATCACACACCTGACTGATGTATCCCCTTTCTTTATCTGTGGGTGCTAAAGCAATAGGTGGATGGTGCTGCCAGAAGCAACATCAACAGAGAAAGTCACCAGCACACAGTCTTTTTCAGAAATTAAACTCCTTAAATGATGATAATGTCTCAGAACATATCACAAGCACAAGTACAAAGTTTTAAGGGCCACACAGGGTCCCTTTATCAGGCAATGTGATACAGTGTAAAGCAATAAACGCATAAACTGTAAACAGGCCTCAAGATTTCCACTCGCCCCCTCGCAATTGGCAAGTTAAAATTGCGTGGGGGCGAGTGGAATGTCATCGAGGGGGTGCGTCGCCGGCAGGACCAGGGATGGGACACGACCGCTGATTGCTCGCTTCTGTTCCTTCTCCTGCTTGGCCGCTGCAACTACAGAGCGGCCGAGGAGGAGAAGATAGAACAGGAGCGATCGCCGCGGTGGTAGTCTCCAGACTCAGTGGCGGTTGCTGGAGTTCATCCCCGCACAGCGGCCGGGACATACAGCTGTCACTGAGCTAACTGCAGTTCAGTGTAAAAAAACGGCACACTACAAGTACTATGCCGTTTTTTTACACTGAACAGCAGTAAGCTCTGTGACAGCTGTATGTCCCGGCCGCTGTTCGGCCATCATAGGCGTCGCCTCCCCCTGATGATTTCCCATAAAAATGGCCGCTGTCCTATTGTATTGTTGTTCTGCTTCTAACTACTTTGTCACATGAATACATGTTTCCTTTGTTTTGTTTTGAAAATCTCTAATAAAATCTGATTGCACCAAAAATGGCCGCTGCTCCTGCAGCCAAGATCTCCTGTAAGCTCTGCCGCTGCAAGTGACAAGTGATTGCTCCTCGGCAGCATGTACTTCCGCCCATCTCTGCTGCAATTGGCTGGGAGGGACAGTGCAGCACTGTCATTGGCTGCCTGGGTACATTCAGCACAGCGGGAAGGGACCTGCAGAGGAGGCACAACAAGGCTGCTGGGGGCTTCACATGGAGGAGACATCGATGCCCCCCCACCACCACCACACGGAGAGGAAGAAGAGGGCATGAGGACAGAGCACATCACCACTGTAAGTCCCTTTTCTATCTTACACCGCTGACCTCCGCACTCTGCGTCACCTTGCTGACCTCTGCACTCTGCGTCACCTTGCTGACGCAGAGTGTGGAACACCAATGGCCTCCGCACTGCTCGTCGCGCCAATGGCCTCCGCACTGCTCGTCGCGCCAATGGCCTCCGCACTGCTCGTCGCGCCAATGGCCTCCGCACTGCTCGTCGCACCAATGGCCTCCGCACTGCTCGTCGCACCAATGGCCTCCGCACTGCTCGTCGCACCAATGGCCTCCGCACTGCTCGTCGCACCAATGGCCTCCGCACTGCTCGTCGCACCAATGGCCTCCGCACTGCTCGTCGCACCAATGGCCTCCGCACTGCTCGTCGCACCAATGGCCTCCGCACTGCTCGTCGCACCAATGGCCTCCGCACTGCTCGTCGCACCAATGGCCTCCGCACTCTGCGTTGTTACTGATCTCTGTACTTTGCGTCTCACCGCTGACTAGGCGGAGTTAAGGCCAAAGCAGGGTAGGGGTTAGGTGGCGAGTAACTTTTAAGGCCTGGCTAGTAGCTCAGGACTTGAAATTTTGAGCCCTGCGGTAAATATACCAGTGAATAAACCTTGAACCAATCCAAAGATTCTTTTCAGTTTTCTTAATTTTTGGATTGGTTTAAGGGTTATTCACTGGTATATTTACAGTATATGCGTTAATTGCTTTGCACTGTATCACATTGCCTGATAAAGGAACCCTGTGTGGACCTGAAAACGTACTTTCACTTGTGATATGTTCTGAGACGTCGGTAAAGGTGTTTTATATCTAAAGAAGACTGTGTGCTGTTGACCTCCGTGTATGTAAGAATTGTTCATATGTTTTCTCCATGTGTGTAGAAGTGCTACAGCTTTTTGCACTAGCTGTGATACAGTAAAGAGACAAACTTGCTGAAAGGAAGGGATTACCAAAAGCACATCTACAGAACATTTTATTTGTGCAGTCCTGTGTTTTTCAATGAATGGTCAAAGCCACAATCATCATTAAAGCTTCAATAGGCATGAAATTATACGGATACCGGTACCATTTCCAAATAGGGGAATAGAATATATGCAATAAAGTAGCAACTGGCATAATAACATTGTGCATTGGAGAGCATTTTATATTGATTTCTAAAAATACAGATAGAATCTAGAAACTTGTTTACTTCCTGCCTAATTTAGATTTGCAGCACATTTACAGGGTTATTCGCAAAAGGCTGAAGAGCTGGAGATGGCAGAAGTAAACAATCTAGGAAAACATAGCTGAACTGATGGAGAGCTGAATTGGATAATTTTTCCAAATCTGCTATTTTGGCCTAGATCGTTCACTTCTCCTGCCTTCTCCAACTCTTCACCCTTTTGTGAATAACCCTGTTGGTTACCAATGTTTCTTCTTCAGAGATTTGATTTTTGAGATGAGGTTTAGATAGCATCTAACATAAAATGGAGGGTGTGTAAGACACCTCGCCTTAAGAAACAAGGGCTACAATATAAAATAGTCAGTCTGTCTCAAAGATAATAAACATGGATATTTCTTTTTTATTTAACAGTTTAGTAGATGGGAAAGAATATCTCTTCCAAGCAAAAGATGAGGTAAGAAGTGTGCTCCTTATTCCAAAATGATGGGGTTTGTGGAAAGTGGGGTTTAGTGTTGCCTCTAAAGCTGGGTTGAACAGCTACAGTATACAAAGACATGGATAGTCTTTCGGTTTTAAAATTCCCAATCAACAGGAAAAAAAAAATAATAAAAAATATTGCAGGTCCAATTTTAGAAATTCAGACTCTGCTGCACCACCCATCATTGTAATGTTGTGAACTTTCGGACACGAGGAAAGGGTACAGTAATGATTGCCACTGTGCTGCTCTTTCATTGTCCATTAATAGATTCAAGTGGGTCCTTGACTTTTATTGCTCATCTGTGGTATAGTCTACAGAAAGGTCTCAGGACCTGGCTGTTACCCTGTCTGGCGGGGGTACCTGGATGCCAAGACTGATTAAGCAGCATTACAAATCACTTAAAAAGTTAAAACCGTTACTATATACGTATTTCAACTGAGTATTTAACTGCATGCCTGGAGTTCAGCTTTAAGCAAAACCATCTCTGCTACACGAGATTGGTCTGTACATGATTTTAAGGACTGAAGGTGTAATCCTCACTAGACTATTAAATGTCGGTGACCTAAGGAGTAAAAAAAAAAAGGTCTTATGTTTTTAGGATTGTTAATATACAGTATCAGAAGTGAAGTACACCCCTCACATTTTTGTAAATATTTTATTATATCATTTCATGTGACGACACAGAAGAAATGACACTTTGCTAAAATGTAAAGTAGTAAGTGTACAGTTTGTATATCAGTGTACATTTGCAGTCCCCTCAAAATAACAACACACCGCCATTAATGTCTAAACCGCTGGCAACAAAAGTGAGTACAACCCTAAGTGAAAATGTCCAAATTGGGCCCAAAGTGTCAATATTTTGTGTGGCTACCATTATTTTTCAGCACTGCCTTAACCGTCTTGGGCATGGAGTTCACCAGAGCTTCACAGGTTGCCACTGGAGTCCTCTTCCACTCCTCCATGACTACTTCACGGAGCTGGTGGATGCTAGAGAACTTGCACTCCTCCACCTTGCGTTTGAGGATGCCACACAGATGCTCAATAGGGTTTAGGTCTGGAGACATGCATGGCCAGTCCATCACCTTTACCCTCAGCTTCTTTAGCAAGGCAGTGGTCGTCTTGGAGGTGTGTTTGGGGTCGTTATCATGTTTGACTACTGCCCTGCGGCCCAGTCTCTGAAAGGAGGGGATCATGCTCTGCTTCAGTATGTCACAGTACATGTTGGCATTCATGGTTCCCTCAATGAACTGTAGCTCCCCAGTGCTGGCAGCACTCATGCAGCCCCAGACCATGACACTCCCACCACCATGCTTGACTGTAGGCAAGACACACTTGTCTTTTTGTACTCCTCACCTGGTTGCCGCCACACACGCTTGACACCATCTGAACCAAATAAGTTTATCTTGGTCTCATCAGACCACAGGACATGGTTCCAGTAATCCATGTTGTTAGTCTGCTTGTCTTCACAAACTGTTTGCGGGCTTTCTTGTGCATCATCTTTAGAAGAGGCTTCCTTCTGGGACGACAACCATGCAGACCAATTTGATACAGTGTGCGGCGTATGGTCTGAGCACTGTAGTGAGTGTACAGCTTGTACATCAAAGTGTCATTTCTTTAGTGTCGTCACATGAAATTATATAATATAATATAATATTTACAAAAATGTCACTTCTGTGAGATACTGTAGATGGAAAGATACATATATGCATCTCTCTCCCTATGTCCATCTATCTTGTCTATTACTATTCTACTTAAAAGCGATGCTGAAATTGAACATTTTGCAGCATTTGTGGCCCTAGGAACATCATGACTGATTATTATATGGACTTAGTAACATTTTCAAGTAGAGTAAAGGGATAACATATAATTAAATACATGAAAAACTGAGCCCGACAGGGAATGCACATACATCCTAATTATTACTTATTTGCCTAATATGAAATGCTATCCTGTGCTGTGATGCTCATGACTTGAACTGCATCTACAGTGTAAAGGCAACAATATTATTTTGTTTCTTACATTAAAAAAACAAAAGCAAAGAACGTTTCCCAAAAATGGATGACTATGGGAATATATGTTGAATGCTAAAATACACATCAGAGCTAATCTAGAACTCCATGTCAATTTTGCCTTTTTTTTTCTCTTCACAGGCTGAAATGAGTAGTTGGATGCGGGTGATCAATGCTTCGCTGCCTTCTTCACCTGGTGACACCTCGGACCGTTCTCCTAGTGCACCCAAGGGTTTAACACGAGCAATGACTATGCCACCAGTGTCCCCCAATAGTGCCACAGAGGGCACGGTAACACTGCGCAACAAGGAAGGAAAAGAGAAAGACAGAGAAAAGCGCTTTAGCTTCTTTAAGAAGAAATGAATCATCTTTTGGCTGTCAGCACATGTTTCTCTGATCAGATCATCACTGCTTACAAGGCCCTGACAAGCCAACAGCATAGGACCTTTGAAAAAGGGAGGGGCTTGGGTGGATGTGTGGGTGAAAAAATAATTAAAATGTCAACTGCATTTTATATATAATGATATATTATGCATAATATGCACCTCCAATGATGAACAGACTTAAATGTGCTCGAACGCAACATAACTTGTGGCATCCCAGTCAGCAGCTCCTGTTGCACTGAAAATAATTGAGAAATGGCTTTTTAATAAGGTATATAAGCCGTTCGTGAGGGTAGGTCATTATTCCATCATTAAATTTTTTGTCTCAGTGGGGTCTTTCATTGTCTCTACGCGCATGTCCAGCCATGGCCTCTAACATGACATCAAGCTTTAGAGATGCGGTGCACATTTAGCAGCGTATAATGAAGATGCAATAAACTGAAAGAACTTAACCATGTGATGCCTCTCCCTGACATGAAGACAAGTGTTCCTTATTGTCAGATGGCTTCATCCTTTTTCACAGGGTATTTGAGATGCATAATAGTCATGCATGAATGCAATATTACTTATACAAACGCTGACAACTTTGTGTCAGTACTGCAGGTATTCCTATGATTCTTTACAAATCAAGTACCATCAGCAACTAGGCAAAGACTTTACTGTAAAATAGTAGTCAAAGTTACAGGTTCACCCTTTCGCAGGCACCTGAAGCCTTCAGAAACTTCCTGGGAAAGCCACTACTTACACAGAGCTGTTTGCCACCATTATGTAACAATGCTCTAGCCTGGAATTTGCCCACTTGGGCACTAAACCTCTATTTTATGTTGCAGGTTCTTTGATAGTAGGCAAAGTAACAGGTTCACTTGAAGCTGTGCTTACCCTACCTATGTGCTCACTGTAGGCTTACTTTAAATGAACACTGTCATTGGGGACATTTTTTTTTAATTATAGCATTGTCCTTTTGTGATTTATGTTTGTTGTACTGTATAGAGCCTAGGGCTAGTCACACTTCAGCTTTGTCACCCAGTTAGACAGTCTAAAATCTGAGAAAGTTAAACTTTAGTGACAGAATGTTTGGTGCAACTGAGTTCTGTACTTAACAGCAGTTGCAAAAGGTGGCCATGGGCATTAGATGACCCTTTCCTGATTCGGCTCAACGATTTAACATCTAATGAAGCATACCCTAACCACTCTGAGCAACTTTTCTCAGGTGACAGAGGACCTGGACATGTTAGAAAGCATTGTCTGATCCCTATTGTTTTTCCTGCGATCAGCTGGCATTGGGATCATCTGTGCATGCTTCTCTTTTCCTTCTCAGTTGCTGATGTGATTAGAGCGAAGCCCTCTAGTCTGGGCCAAGCTGGACCAAAAGAGATTGTGAGATGGCCAGATTGTGCATGCATGTCTATTTGCTGATATTTATGGCCATCTAAACTGTTTTCACACTAGGAACCTCTCTTACAGTATAATTTATACAGCATGTAGACCTACCAACCCAATTAATGCCTGATAGTGTGTGTGTGTATTTGTACTGAACAGTGCATCTCCAATGTTCTATTTGCCCAAATTGGTCAGCAACTAGCAAATGCAGACCTGCATCTTAGATGTGCTGATGTAGGAACAAAAATGTCCTACTCCTTGGAGTCTTTGCAGAACCGGTTGCTGTACTGCTGTGAGCTTAGGAACACTGCTCCCCTGGCAAGGAGTGCTTCTGATGTTTTCTGCCACCTCATAAGAAGTGTTTTAGGAGTCCCCCAGGAGCAGCTTGTGCCACATAGTTTGTCAAGTTGTCTCCTGCATCTGCTTTATTAATGCTTGATGTGTATTCTTTGATAACATTTAACATGTTACACAGTTGTAATATGAAAAGAAATATGAAATTCCTGACATAAAAAGGTAACTAGTACCATTAATATGAACTTGCCAGGCTAAATTCAAAGTGGTGATGGTATCCATTTAAAAAAAAAAAGCTCCTGGATGTCGGACTTCAGGTTCAGTTGACAATGAGACTTTTTTGTGTGGCATTTGGACTATAAAATATGATTTTAGGGACTTTAGTGGTACACCGTTGATTGTCCTTCAATGTTTGCACGTGGTATAGTGGGTCACTTAACCAAGCATGGTCATCAGCCACAAGCATACATGTGTCTGGGGAGAAAATGATTTTTTGGAAGCAGATTACTGATGTGATTTGAGTCCTTATTATTGGTTTGCTCAAGGCATCAAGCTAATTTTTATAATTCTGCAAATGCATACTTTATGGAACTTTCACAACCATGTAAAAAGTTCCTATACCTAGCTTGTAACCTGGTTACACCCTTTAAACCTATCAGGGTGGCTGTTACAGCTTCCATCCTGTGCTGGAAGCTGCCCCAGAACTTCTTCTGAGGGTCTGGTAGTGGCAGACTCGTAGCTGTGCTTGATGCTGCAAATGTTGAGTTGTTCCAATACCACGTTTCTAGAAGGCACACATCCATTGCTGGGAGCCTATATTGTGACAGATGTGGCTTTTAATTTTCCCCTAGCTGGGCGAAGTTCCTTTTTAAGTTTATCTTCAGGTGCAGAAGTAAACACTGGGCTTTAGGCTTAAGCCCCTGTTGGCCCTTACTTCCCCTTTTAATTATTTACCTAGATCATGCAGAGGCCTCCTTCATATAATTCTGGACAAATAGTTATGGTTCTTTGGGACCTTGTCACCTCTGCCTGTGACACTTTGTTGTGCCTTTTGATTATGAACACAAAACGTTAGATGATCCTGAAAAAGACCGCTCACACACCTACATGACCATGTTCATTACAACAACCCTGCTGGTTTGTGAAGCCGCCACAGTCCATGAAATTCAAAACTAATCAGACAAACCTCTGGCCCAGAAGTAAATATATAAATATATTGCTATGTGGGCTATTACAGTAAGGAATATAGTACAACTGAATATAGAGCCATATGTCATTTGCTTTTTTGGGCTTGGCCAAGAAATCTGAATGAATTATCTTGTAGGATCCATGTAGGCTAAATGAAGTATTGAACACATAGCTGGAATAGGTAATCGAGATCAAGCTGAACTCCGGGATATGCCACAGCTATATTCATGTTGAGCTGTTGGCTGATGTTGCCATCACACCCCTTACTATTTCAGATCACACAATTTCTATTTCTCTGGGGCTTTAAAAATGCCAAGTTACAACATTTTGCACCATTTTGTTAAAATTATAACAATCTATTGAATTTGCCAACCATAAAATAGTTAATAAAATTCCAGAAGGGAAACAAACAATGCATTAGTTTTACACTTCCCTTTTCTGTGTTCAATATTAAAAGTAATCACATTGTGATCACTATTACCCAATGACTCCCCAAAACTCCCCAAAACTGCATGGCTTAAATTCAAGAGTACTGTGTATTACTGGTGTCCTGGCCTGTTTTGTCTTTGTTCTCGTGTCTGCGTAGTAAATCCGGTATACTTTGCCTGTATTAAGATCAGGCACTGATGCTTTCTCTTGTGCAGAGTGATTGGTCTTGTATTTACCTGCCAATGCCCCCACCCTTTTTTTCCACTTACAGTTTTCTGTAGGTAGCCTGCAGCGCTCTGCACAAACCATGTGCAGCACAGTGAGGTTAACACCACTACTTTTACAAGGTAATCACTGGATTTGCAAAGGCATTTTGTGCGCACAAAGTGGAATTATTTCCATTGTGGCTATTGACTAATATTCTTACATTCATTTTTTTTAAGTGCCCGGAGTTCAGCTTAAAGTGTGGTTTCCAATAATCGTTCGTTTTATGCAAAGATGATGATTCGCGCATGAGTCTGCCAAGTTATGGAATGTCTGAGATTTAAGCAAACTGTTCACAGCTGATAATCACAAAGAGCTGAAACTCATTTTACACATAAATATGCTAAATCAAGCCATTTAGTCTGTCACTTTTAAAGGAATTTGAACATATCTAAATATATATTCATGAACGCTTTTATTACATGATTACCTAATATTCAAGCTACATTTTAAATGCAGCATTTCACATACATGCAGCTCATTGCCAAATATTTAGAGCTCGCTTTTGTAAACTTTTACTACTGGAGTTGAATTTTAAATTTTTAGATTGCAAATGTAGATTGTGGAACCACTATTTATTCTAAGAAATGTAAAGTGCTTTGAGATAGAGGGGGGTTGTCAACTGCTATTGTACATGGGATCCCCCTCTATTCCCTTCCCCCACGACTCTAATATATTTGTTCTTTTAACTTGCCTTTCTTCAAGCTGGTCACATGTGCTTGGTCCTCTTTGGATCTCCTCCCAGCCATGGGAGGCCCTCATTGATGATGAGTGGCGCTAATGTCATAACATAAACACCACTCACTTCGTTACACTGTAAGTGTAGGGTGCTGTGGTGATTCCCCCTTAGGGGTGGGGTCCATGATGCTCTACACTTACAGTATGTCACAACCCCCTCTGGGGTGGGTCCATGATGCCCTGTAGGCATAGTATGGTCTTATGTGGGTTGACTGATGCTGGGCATCATTCAACCCAGGAGACTGAGGACATTTAGCTGTGACAAGGAATTACTGCAGGGTGCAGTGCTGAAACAGTGGGAAGAATTGCAAGTAGAGTTGCTTTTTTATTTTATCCATTTGCTAGGTAATAGTTAACAAAACTATTTGCCCAGAGTGGACTTTAAGGACACACAACTATAATACATTTGATTTTAATTATCCTGTGACTTGACCAGTCCTGGCTCACTCTCCCTTCAACATTTAAGGTTGGCATCCGGTTGTTGTAAAATGACATGAGGTAATCATTGATGCTGCAACTTTTTTTTCCCAATATAATTACTTTTAATTTATTTTTAAGCTTGTCAATTTGCCAGAAATGAAACTTTCTTGCAAACTGCACTCCTTTTATAAGTAGGAATTTAACTTTAGTGTTATACCCGCTAAAGAGGACTGTTTATCAGAATAATGTGGGAGTTAATTTTTACAACACTGGTTATGTGATTATAGCAGGCAGAGAAGTTGATGCTCACTTTCAGCAAGAGCCACTCAACAGCTACAAAGAAAAAGCAGAAAACTGCTCTGCAATAAAGTTTACTAAAATACAAACTATGTCTAAATCTGACATTGAGGGTTTTTTTCTAAACTAATGTGGAGTTTCAATTAAAGTAAATGTATCACTTTCAGTTTGAACTAGCCTGCAGTCGATGCTGCCATCACTGGGCACTGAGATCCAGTGCTAATTTTTAGGCAAGCACATTGGCATGCAACAAGCTGTGCATGGACACACTTCCTGAAAGCTGGAGAGGGATAACATCCTTCAGAGCCAGGTAAGAACCTTGCAGAAGTGGCAGATTCCCTTTTAACCCCTTCATGACTGACGACGTACAGTGTACGTCGCCAGCATCGGGGCTGTTTAAACAGACTCCCGGCGGCTATTGCGGCCGGGACTCTGTTTAAACTTGTAAAGCGACTGTCGGCTTTACAACAGAAGCGATTCTGGCGACTTACCTGTCGCCAGATCGCTTCTGTGTCTGCACTTCAATAGCTTATTTCCAGTGTAAAGGTGACACTGGGGGTCTTTTGGACCCCCAGCATCACCTTAAAGAGTACCTGTCACCACCATCTGC